CAAAGTTCGAGAAAAAGAAAATTAGATTGCGATGCCTAAAAATGTCATTTTATTGTTGGTGTTTTTTCTTACAAAATTACAAATTAAAAAACTATATAAAACATAAAAACAAAAGTGAATCTACAACAAAAACAAAAACAATCAAAATTCTTACAAAATTCTAAAGCCTCAATGGAGATTTCTTCTTAATCCAAGTTCCAATGCCTTCTTACATATAATGATAAACTCGTGTATACTCTTCTGCCATAGATGAGAGATGGAAAAGAAGAGGGGAGAGCGTACCAGTAATTTAAAGCTCGTACATGGAGATGGAGAACACATAAATGAAAAAAAAAACCAAAGATTAAAGGGTTTAAATATTGAAGTTGAAACGTTCCAAGAGAAATGGAAGAGTTTTTGAGTTAAATGTGAAAATTAATTGGATTTAAATATTGAAGGTGAAACGTACCAAGAGAAAGGGAAGAGTTTTTGAGTTAAATGTAAACATTAATTTGCAAAATTTTTGCAAAGAAAAAAAGTCAAAATTTAGAAAAAAGAGAAAAATAGGATCTTTGCATCGAGGAGATGTCACGTCAACCTATCATGATTTTGCTTTATAGATATATATATAGATTAGAAAGATATTCATGCAATGCAGCGAGATAAATCTTCATTTTAATGTTTAGTTCTTATTCTTTGTTTCTATTGATATAATACGATTTTATATAGTTTTAAGAAAGCGATAATTATAAATTTGAAGATAGCATAGAAATTTAAAGATAATAATTAAACATTTCGTTAGAACTCAATTATAATCTTAATTATATTTTAGATTTTTTATATTTAAAATGGATGTTTATTCTGCATTTAATTGTGTTTATTTATAGTTAGTTACACGAATCTAAAAATATAGCTTTAATAAGTTGTACTTACGCAAAATTACTTGTAATCTTGAATTTTAAGTAATATTCATCAATAAATAATATTGCATGCATAAAAAATGGTATTTAAGAATTTTTGCCAAATATTTTATAATATGGTATAGATAAACCTCTTGAATTATTCATTTTAAAAGAAATTCCCTCCGTTCTAGAAAAATATCCGCACTAAAAAAGATACATATATTTATAATTAATTAAATGATAACTTTTATATAAAGAAGTAATCAATTTTTTTTCTTTTCAAAAGTAATAATAAAATGGAAAATTAAGCAGTTACTTTGAAAAATATAGATTTATTTTAAATAAAAATAAATATATTGATATCTATACTATATTATAAACATTTGATGAAAAGTCTTAAAAACCATTTTTTATGCATGAAATACTGTTAATTAATGTATATTACTTAAAATTCAAGATTATAAGTAAATTATACATAAGTACAATTTATTAAAACTTCATTTTTGAATTCGTATAACTAACTGTAGATAAATATCTCATTTTAAATATAAAAACTTTAAATGTAATTAAGATAATTATTGAGTTCTAACAATATACTTAATTATAATATTTATAAAAAATTATATTATTAAATCAAAAATAAATTATTTCATTATTAAACGTAAATTAAGTTATAACAAAAAATTGAATTAAAAAAATTATACAAAAAACGAGAAATTTTAAACAGTTAATTTGATACTAATATCAATATTTTTTTTTCAAAGTTTTATGATCATGGGCGGACCTGGTGTGATGGCATGGGTGGCACGTGCCACCGTATTATTTCGCGGCCGAAGAGTAAAAAATATAGGTTTGTTAACGGTGCTACCGTATCGTTTTACAAGGTGCTACCGTATTTCCCTGAAATCCAAATGGTCTAACTAAAACCCAAACAAAAAAAGCCCAAATAACCAAAACCATACTTTTTGTAATTATTTTTTGGTATATATTGACCGTTTTCAAAAGATGAAGACCTGTCGGGTACAAGTTTTGGAGTTATTTATCAGTACTATAAAAACCATATTTTTGTAATTATTTTTAAATGTATATTATACTATATCAATTATATGGTGCCACCGTTTGAAAAAATTTCTGGGTCCGTCCTGTTTATGATATCTTCAAATTTATATTTTATTCAAAAATAAAAATATTATTGCTTTCATAAAACCATATTATATCGATAAAGACAAAAAAAAATTAATAAAATATTAAAATCAAAACATGTATCTATACATTATATGAACACCCTTCTAATTTATTTTAGTACGTATAACAAATAATAATCAGTATTCTCAAAACATCAATGGGGTGCATCAATAAAATATATACACCACGTTTTTCGGTCGGAAATGAATTTTAAAATCATTAAAATATTATTATTCAAATATTTATTATTCAAAAACACCAACCTTTGCATTCAGATATTTAAAAAATGCATGCACATCAAATCCAAAGTTTTCAATAAAGAAGACAGACTAAATGCCAAAACCAATTATTGAACAGATCAAAAGTATAAAATATTGATTTAAATTAGTGATTTATTTATATTAATATTTTAAAATTGTTCTTTTTAAAATTAGTCATATTAAAAATACATTAGAATTCTCATATATGATGGTTATCTACTTGTGACTCATCTTTATTTAAAGAGCTTATGATTAGTGTGAATATTGAATTCTCTATCTCTTTTTTTATGAACATGGATATCCAACACGTTATGCGAGCCGACACGCTATGCGAGCCGACTAATCTCAGGATGACCACCTGCTTTGGAGATAGCCCAGAATCACCGCATTTGAACCTCTATGGCCACAAGGGGATTTTAAATTCATCATTGGATTTGAATCTGAGACCTCCTGGTACTTTTGACCTTTGGAGCCAAACTCAAATC